ATGTGACACTTTGGAGGTTATTGTTGATTGACTTATGACATAGTGTTATGTTAATAATTGTAAACATGTGAAATTCGGAAGGGTTATAGGGATAGGTAAGATCTCTTATCAGGAGAAAAGAAAATAAGAGGTGATCATATTGGAGTAGATAACATTATACAGGGCTCCAATAGGATAGAGGCCACTAATTTTTTGCTGCTTTGTTTTGAAGGAAGTTAAACATATCAGGCTGGGTTCTATGACGATGAGTTTATAGAATGAGTTGCCATCACATTAGTATATGCCAGCACTTTACAGGAGATTAAGAAGGGGGTTCTCTACAAAATAAAGGGTGTGTTTAACTTTCTAATTATCTGAATGGTGGATGTATAAGGACAGCCTTGATGGACTAAATGGTCTTTTGTTAAGCCTATTTTACATTGTATTACTACAGTATTTATAGAGGTGTAAATGTGGAGATGTGTCAAGTTTTTATAACTCTCTCTTTACCAATCTTTTTTTACATGCCTAATATGAGATGATTTTCGTACTCTTCATAATATATACATAAACATAATTTTGTCTTTCTCTTTTAAATTTTCAATATTCAATGGTTTGACATACTGTTGATTATTTAGATATTTCCAAATAAAGGTAAGTTTTAAACTCACAGTTGGTTTTTGCTTCAATGAAATATAATTTAGACACACACACAAACACTTCGGATAAAATATGCTGTATTTTTCATTTAGTATTTTTATTTCTGTTATATTAAGCATTAGTGTATTTAATTTGGCACTAGATAAAATATTTAGGTTGTTTTGATAAAAGCACACAAATTATTTTTGTTTTACAATTGCCCTGCCTTAATCTTATTACGTATAGTCTTGGAATAACTGCTGCTCTATGACATAATGTCTAAAGGTTGTTAACATTTTTTCATACTTTTTAGCAAGGATAGACTGTTTAGAATGCTGGAGAAACACAAATGATTTTGTTTAAACATACTTACAAAGGAAATCAACTTAAAATAGTAAAATTAAAACTGTATTTATGAACTTGACACGTTGTTTTAGATCCACTAGTAACTATTAAAAGTTCGTAGAGGCCAGAATTTCTAGTAAATCACAAAGATATTAAAACAGATTTCTGCACAAAACAAATATAGATAATTCAGTCAGATATCTTTGTAAAACTTAATCTTCATTTACGCACAGTGCGACAAGCCAGAAGCCTGATTATGGCCGATATAGTGGCTATCTGGGATGTTCCCCTGAGTGACAAAAATCACAGAATTGAACTTGAACATGGAACCCTTTCTGGAAAAAGAATCATTAGAGTGGATGGCAAAGTGAGTATGGTGTAACTGGTTCTTAGTTTTTTAATCATCTGTTTTCTATGTGCGCCATGACATCAAAGGCATGTATGACTTGTATTAGTCTAAAGAACTAACATGCAAGTCAGTGTACCTTGCTTGAACATCCATCATTTCTGTATTAAACCACCAGGTTTTGTTCTTCAAAATGCAAGTCATCTGTTAATCCTAATAAACTGTAAAAAAACACCACTTGACACTTTTTTAAATATGAGGTTATTTTTAACCTTTGTATTTGTTCATTAGGCAGGAAAGGTGAGCCCTGGTAAAAGAAATCAAGCACTATTGATAATGATTAGTACATAGCAGTTGTAATGGATCAAAATGTTCAGAACTTTTCTCCAACAGGTTGCAAATGATCATTGAGTATTCTTTCAGCCAGAACAATGCTAGTTATAAAACCTGTGTTATATAACATAGAGTGGCATGTTTCTGAGTAAACAACATGCTCAACCTCAGCTTACAATCCCAGAACAACTCAGCTAGATACATAAAGATTTAGTGGATCAGAAATCATAAAATTGGTCCTTACCTCAAATAAATGATAGATAAATTTGTCTCTTTAGATATTTAGTCTAGTATATTGGAATCATTTATGGTAGAAACAGAAGTTAGTTTGTTGTTACTGTTTTCATAGTTTTAATATATTGAATACTTTTAAAACCGTTAAATGAATTTAGCAGATTATTAGTTTTTAACATATGATTTCAAGATATATTATTCTTCAATATTGCCCCCCCCCACTACAAACCAGGTTTCAATATGCATGGTGGACAGAGCACAGGTAGCCCATTGTTTGCAAACAAACAAAGAATTTGGCCCCCATTGGCACATTGGTATGTCTGTGGACTTGCAATGGTATAAACTGGATTTTGATACCCGTGGTAGGCAGGGCACAGATAGCCTATTGTGTAGCTTTGTGCTTGACTACAAACGAACAAACAAATCTTCAGAATCGTTAGTTTTAAGCTGCTTTAGTAAAATTACCTTAATTCATATGTGGGATGGACCACAATGTCATAGTTTTGTTATTAAATCAGTAGTCTCTTCAGGACTTCATAGTGCGCAGTAAATTTTAAAGTAAATTAGTTTAGTACACAGCATGATGTAATTTCCTTCTTGAAAGTGAGTCCTGCAAGAGACTGTAAATGAGAAAAGTGACACCAATGTTTTTTATATTGTGCATCTTGTATGTATAAATACAATGCTACTCTCAGAAATTTTAAGGCCCTGGACAATCTCTCCTACAGTTGTTGGTTTATACATCTAAACCCAAGATGCATTGGTGAAGACCAAGTAGATAAAGTTCTATAGGTCAGCCTGAATGACCCCTCTCTCTCTCTCCTTGTGGGTGATACTGTTATGTAAGGGAGAAATTGTGTTCTTATTATATGTTGTGTTGCACTGACTGGATATTTTATAATACTGTTATGTAAGGCAGAAATTGTGTTCTTATTATATATTGTGTTGCACTGACTGAATATTTTATAATACTGTTATGTAAGGCACAAATTGTGTTCTTATTATATGTTGTGTTGCACTGACTGAATATTTTATAATACTGTTATGTAAGGCAGAAATTGTGTTCTTATTATATGTTGTGTTGCACTGACTGAATATTTTATAATACTGTTATGTAAGGCAGAAATTGTGTTCTTATTATGTGTTGTGTTGCACTGACTGAATATTTTAAGTATAATCATTAAATAGCTCTGAGCTTTCTCTTACTTTATTTATATATATATTGTTTTAGGAAATTTTAAAAAAAGACTGGATGTTTAAGCTGGTTGGATCGGAAAGTTTTGAAATAGGAAAAGCAAAGTGTGTTATCACAATTCAAGCTATCGGTGGCTTCACCTACGAATACAGTCTTAGTGTTAATGGAAAACTATTAGAAAAATTCAGGGAAAACCAATCTAAGGTTATGAAAACGTGGTTGATACAAATTATGGGAGAACCCACCCGTATTGTCCTAGGTAAGTTGAACTAAATATCATAACTCTTGTGCTTAAAAAATGAGCAATTGGATGAGGTTTGTTTGTTTGGGTGAACGTGTATAACGTACCAAACAATATTGACACGTCTGTTTGGAAAGAAACGTTTTTTATTTTTTCAATTATCAATAATATTTTCCCATTGATTGAAATGTGGTACATTAAAATACATTGTAGCAATACTAAAATTCATAGTTTTAATTTGTAATTATGAACTGAAGATACTTCACATTTTATATATGTATATTTATACACCAAGTTCATCTAGGCAACATATGCAACTGAACGAGAAAATTCTGCTTCATTGAAATACATTACCATAATTTTCATTATCGTACATGCTGAATAACTCGTGAATATACTATTTAAATTGCTTTTTTTTTCTTTACTTGTAAAACTAATTTTCTCACCCTTGTATATATATAAGAAAAAAATGTTGAAATTCTGTTCTTATCTCAGTTTTTTTGCTCTGTTTTAAATCATACAATTGATGTGACTTTCAGAATTTATAATACGAATTCATTTCTTTTTTCTTTCATCTTATATACACTGAATATATGGCCTTGGCTTTGGCAAATATAGAATACAGTCGGTAAGCTTTCCAGAGGAACCAGATTATTGAACTTTTTTCCTGTAGTTGATTGCTGTTGCTTAGCAACTACTTGTAATGATATTTGCAGAATGTGCCTTTACATGGCTCGTAATTAAAAGTATGTTACCTAGTATCCTTTATGTTAATTTTTCAGGCAATCTTAAATATACTGGAAAATTATGTACATTAATAAATCAAATCCAAGTATTTTTTTTTAATCAAGAACTATACTTACAACTTTATACGGCTATGATGAATGGTGTGTGAATCATATTTCCTCGTAACTTATAACCTTGCAGTTAAGGATATAGATGATGAAATATTTTCAAAGTTTTTTTATCTAGATTATGTTTTTCACCTTGTGTGTTTAAGTTCATCATATATTTATAAATAAAAAAAAAACAGTAAAGCTGCACAATGCATTGCTCTATATTTTTAAAATTAAAAGGGTTTTTCTTTTTAGGGTTATGGTTAATTTTCAGTAAGTTGTATTATTCATTTGAATATTTTCGGTATTTAAAGAAAGTCGTCAATCTTTTGAGTGACTCGTACAACATGATTAATGTGTTACTGTTTATGGCACTATAATAGTGCTTGATATATTTTTTACAAATTTATATGAAAAAGCATTTTTTTCCCTTCTTGTGTCAATCAGAGGTCTGTGTCATAAAAAAATAATATTTATAGTTTTATACAATTAATACTTGAAGCTGTCAGTATTTGGTGAAACTCCATAATTACAGAATTGAATAAAAAATAAAGACAGTTGTGTATTTCACAAAAACTGTACCTAATGATGATTTTAATGGTGAAACAATGGTCATAAAAAATGAAGTTTTGTGAAATGTGCAGTTGTCTTTATTTTTTTCTTCAATTTATAGGTTTCTAGTTATTTCCACTATTCATAAGTTATGTGTTTTGCAAATTTTCTAAACCTTTTAAAAACCTTTTACATAATTTTAATGGTTCATGGCAATTTTACAAACTTATTATTGGATATCTATATATGTATGTGTATGGAAAATATCAAATATTTTTATACTTGACAGACACTCGTATACTGCCTTATTTGTTAATAAAATTTATAATGTTCTATATTTCTATACGACACCCTAGAGAAGGATACGCTTGATGTATGGATTAATGGACAGAAAGCTGAAACAGCAGTAAGTAGATACTCTTTCTTAGAATTTTGTCAGATTTTAATTGTATGGTATAGAATCCAACCAGAAAGAAGAGTTTGTCTTCCTGATACAGGTGATTCTCCTTAAAACGTGTTATCATCGTTCAAAATTATAATCGTGTACTGTAGACCTCAAGCGATTCTCCTTAAAACATGTTATCATCGTTCAAAATTATAATCGTGTACTGTAGACCTCAAGTGATTCTCGTTAAAATGTGTTATCATTGTTCAAAATTATAATCGTGTACTGTATACCTCAAGCGATTCTCCTTAAAATGTGTTATGATCGTTCAAAATTATAATCGTGTACTGTAGACCTCAAGCGATTGTCCTTAAAATGTGTTATGATCGTTCAAAATTATAATCGTGTACTGTAGACCTCAAGTGATTCTCCTTAAAACGTGTTATCATTGTTCAAAATTATAATCGTGTACTGTAGACCTCAAGTGATTGTCCTTAAAATGTGTTATCATCATTCAAAATTATAATTGTGTACTGTAGACCTCAAGTGATTGTCCTTAAAATGTGTTATCATCATTCAAAATTATAATTGTGTACTGTAGACCT